GACATACTGAGACATACTGATAAATGCTCACCTGGTCATACCACGAGTGTGTAACCCAGTGTCCACAATAAGCCTTACAGCACGCCAGGTCTACAACACAAGAAAACAGAACATATCAGTCTTCGTATAATAAGCAAAAAGCGCACTTCGAAGTAATTTTTTCAAACATGAAACACTGTGTTTGACCACATTTCCAAACGCCGAGAAGAGAGTTGAAAACACGAAGCGCAGCGGAGTATTCTTGACGAACTTCGAGGCGTTTGAAACACTGTCTTGAGTGTTTGATATATCTTCTCAATCGAAACTAAAACTAAGGAGGAAGTGGAGAATTAAAATCGTAAAAATCTATACTAATTAAGATCAGATATCCAAACACCGTAACAGTCACGATTTCCTTTGTTTAAACTTGAAGAGTTATCAATGAGTTTGAGAATGGTTGTGGACGCTTGCTCAACACGGTTATGGCTTAGAGATATAAATACACGATCGTGCAGATAACTGGCTCTGCTTTAAAGCTTCTTTATCCTCACCTGCCATTTAACCATGCCATACTTCTGCAGCAGATTGTCCTTGTAGGTATCGGTGTCGTCCGAGAGAATAGGATTCTCACTGTATAAGCCCCATCCCTCGGTAAACGCAGTGTAGTAAGTGATCTGATCCAACCAAGCAGGAACGCCACCGCACTTATCTGCAAAGTGCTCTACGTGACCTGCAAGCAACGAATATATAGTGATTAACAATACTGCCAGAGCCCGAAAAAATTGCGTTACGCGAAAAGTCACGCAACGCTTTGCCGAGAGAAGGCTTGCGTGACAAATCAAAGCATGCACTACATTGCTCGCAAAAAAAATTTGGATGATTTTAATTTGAGACAAAAGGAGTGTCCGAAAGTAAAACTGCCTGAAATGTTACGTCTGAAATATTTCCAGTACAGTATGAAACTTCTAAAGCAATCATTTTACTTCATGGAGCGAACTCTAGTTAAGACACTGCTTGAGATATATACGTAACGGCATGATGGAATTTGTTATCTTCTCGTAGATGTATCTGTAAAACTTTGAGGCTATAGTAAAACTATCATTTTCACAGATGTCGCTTCAGGCTAATTTCGCGTTTTGTAGGCGTAAATTTACCTTA